ATTTGTCAGAAATGAATTATAAAAATTTTAAATAGAAATATAATTTTGAAATACCCACAATTTGGCAACAGAGGCACATCCTTCTTAGTCACTCTATCTGATGTGGATAGAAATTATGATCAGTAGTGAAAAGTAGAGAATGAATAAAGATGTGGAGCCAGAAAATGATTCTGCAAGAGTACTATGCCATTTGTGCATGGAAGAATAGCCCTAATTCATGAGGGTGCATTTTGTTTTATTTTTAAGAGGTAAGCCACAAGTATTTATACGCACTGATTATATTACATAGACTGCCATATATTTGTCATTTGTTTTATTTTCAATTTTCCAATTAAAAACTATTTGTTAAAAATTGTCCCAGTAATTGATATGGGGCAGAAATTTGATATTTGGATCTAATCCATCTTCAGATACGTGGGATTACCTGTTTTAGCCTCATTGAGTGATTTAAGCTCAATGTAGCTGCTATTAAAAGGATCATTAAAGCAAAATGTTGGCTCTTAGAGGTTGAAAGTGATCTCAGCTGTTTCTTCCAGCTTTCTTCTGTCAGCTAGGTGAAGAAAGAATTTTCCTTTTTCAGTGAAGCATTAAAAAATTTATAGCTTATATCTACATTGTCATAACTGAGAAATGTTAAAGACAGTGATAAACTTAGGTTTTTGCTGTAGGTTGAGAGTCACTGTTTAATCAGCTTTAAAACACATTTTTTCACATTTTAACATTTCTGAAATTCAGATGTGACATACAATTAGCTGTGTCTTAGAGTTCAAGTGAGAAAGTTGGTGTGCTGTTATTTCTACCACCCTAATCTCACCTAAGTCCACAGGATACTGAGGATTAGTAATTAAGAAGAGAAGCATTCCTCTACTTGTCCTTTATAGTACTGAGAATGAAGCCAACCTCTGATCTTTCTATTTAGGCTGTCCAATGAAGAGACAGTGCTGTTTTGTAGTACGTTGGGGTAATTTAACATTTTGCAGAAATGAGAAGGTAGCATAACTTTTATTCTCATCACTAGATTTATTTTTTTCATTCAAAAAATACCTGTTGAAGATCCTACTATATTACAAACATTGTGCTCAGGCTAGTAAGTTCTCTGACATCTATGGCCTGTTCCTTTTATTTTAGCATGTAATACTACCTAGCAAATAGTAAGCCCTTTAATAAAATTCTTCATTAGATTAATCACTAGTAGCCAATGTTTAGCTGTGTAGCTTCTTACTTATGGCTTATATCCTGCTGTTGAGAGCTGTGGTACCTGAATTCAGCTATATCACGAGCATCCACTTGATAGCTGGAACTCTACTAATATTTTCAGTTCTTTTATAATCATTACATTGGATATGTTATTTCATTTTAGTGTATCTACATTTCAGTATAGCGTGAGACAAAGGATTATTTGATACTTTCAATGTTATGCAATTCCTACCTTATTAATAAGAGACACACAGACATGGTTAAAGTTTCTTAAAAGCTATATATATGTACAATATTTAAAAACTTCAAAATTATACAGTCTGATTAAACTTCTGAAGACATTTTAATTTTAAGACTAGATAGATTTCTATCCTTTGACATAAATAAAGCAAAAGGTAGGTGAATGGGAATGATAAATTGGCAGTGATATCATTTATATTTTGTTAAATTACCTGAAAAAAATAATAAATTTTTCATTCCACAAGCAAGAAAAGGTTTAAAGGATTGTTTGCAAAAGTGAATATAGGCTAGAAAATTCTAACAGAACTTGGGTTGAAAAAATTGGGCATTCTTAATAAATTTCTTCAGAAAAGCTTTAGAAAAGCATTTCAATTGTTATTTATTGCCAAATATAATAAACTTTTCTAATAATATATTCAGTGGTTTCATTTGTTTTTTACAGTGCACACTGGTTTTTGGCTGTTGTTTGTTTCCCTGGTTTGGAAAAACCGAAGTATGAACCTAATCCTCATTACCATGAAAATACAACCATGCAAAGATGTTCAACTGTAGAGGACAGTTGTATTTCTTCTCCTTCAGCCAGTGAAATGGACAGTTGTTCACAAAACTCTTCTGCCAAGCCTATAATTAAGAAGATGCTAAACAAAAAGCATTGCATGGCTGTAATTGATCCAAGTGCTGAACAGGAAGAAAGTGACTCTCGTTATCGGAGAAACATATGCAGTGCGAAATGTAGTCTGAAAAAAATCAATCATACTGCAAGTGAAAATGAAGAATCAAATCAAGGAGAATCTGCATGCCAGAAAATTGTTGATAGGACTACAAGTGAGAATGGCCTACAGAATGAATATTTAAATTCTATGCACCATACAGGTATGTTTCTAAATGTTTTGGAAGAATCAAGGAATTCAGAGTAAATTGGATTTTTTATAATCAGGATTAAGATTTCAGGGTACACTTTTTATTAAAAGTCAGATTTATTGAAGTATAATTTACTTAAATGGAACATTTCATCATTTTATAAGTATAGTTCAGTGAGCTTTGATAAATGTTTATAGTCATGTAATCACTACAGCAGTCGATTTAGAACCTTTCCATCACTCCAAAAAAAATTGCCTTGTACAGTCTATTCCCCTCACCTCTACAAAGAGTGCAGTTTTAAAATTGTAGTACAGGGTCTACATTTTCCATTCATAAGAT